AAAGAAGCAATTTAGTCCCCGTTTTATGAAGCGATCGCCAACTGGACGCCATTTGCTTAGCAACCACACAGAGTCTCATCCTAGATCGACGTCTTGACAACTCCGCGTCTCCGTATTTCGCACACTTCGGTTGCCCTGGTACCTGACATCCTATTCTGCCTGTTTTCCCTCTCTTCTATACATCCCGAGTTAATTTCTATTTCTACGAGATAGATAATAGGACCGTTTTAGCTTATACAGCCTCTATTCCACATTTTTCCTTTAATTTTACTAATCGGTCTCAGATCTGGTCTTCTGTACCACACATAGAGGAGGAAGGTCCTAAAAACACCTTGGCAACTATCGACTGCCCTTTATGATGCACCCTAAAACGTCAGTGATCTACTATTTAAATCCTCGTTGTCATTTGACTTGCCGAGATTTCCTACCAGTCCACCAGAAATTTAATTCACGCAGAGTAACTCGACGCCAAGAGTCACTGTGAACAGAATAAATCCCATTTCAACATAGATCCCTATTCGATAAAAGATTGAGTTCGGCATTAGAAAGTAAACACTTTTCAACGCACTGATCCGTGAAGTGAATTTAGTGAATTTCGACGAATGGAGGGACAGCCTGTCTTTTCGGCCAATTTGAGACGAACACATCGGAGGGAAAGAGGTAGTAAAGCGGTACAGCATAAAATACATAAATTGAAGGCTTTTGATGAGCCAACTGTGAAGGTGGGCCCTCGATTGTGAGCAATAGAGCCCTATCTGACCTTGATCTATTCGCAAGATCAGGTTGAGGAGCCATTTGGGGAAGCGACTTCGGTCTTGTCTGAGAACCAGCCTTATTATTTTCGGTTATTTTATAGCAGACTTTTATCTTATTTTGGACTGGATTTTTATGATACATTGAATTTATTTGCCGCCCTCTGGCTAACCACTTTTTATATTTGGCTGACAGGCCAAAGCCTAAAGAAAAGTTGCTCCCTCCTTCCTCCAATAATAAAGACATTTTTACATCATTGGCACAAGTTAACGGTTTCTGTGTCTGCTTGACTAAATAAAGGAATTAAGAAATCTTTTCCATAAAATGTCTTTTCATGTGGCTGGCTCAGAGCATATTCAGAGTTGAGCCGTTTCATGAAATGAGACTATCCCGAAAGAGAAATATAAAAATCCACTTGCGTTACTTTGAGTGCTCACAAATAGCCAGAAGTGAGGACTGAGTTGTAGTGGTGGCGCTAAAGATGCTGGCAAAGTGATGAGAGCTGAAGTTATGCGCGAAATGGCTACGCTAGATGCAAAGACGACATGTCTCCACGAATGTTCCCTCATCACACCTCCTCTTTGGCTCGCAATACAAGTATCTGATTGGCCAGCTCAGGAGGTTGAGATGCCAGAATTTACAAGCACACACTCGCAAACACACACGCACACACTTGCATACATATATACGTACGTGCATGAATGTACGTGGGAATGCATAAGAGAATAAGGAGGAGAGAAGGCCTGTGAAGGGTTCGTGCTACAGGGACTGTGAAATGATTGAGATTGCTTTGCTACTTTCTGAAGCCTACTCAAGCCAGACTGCAACTGATGC